TACCTCTGAGCCACAACCCCAGCCCTCATAGTATTTTGATGCATATAAGGACAGATGGTGGTAAATTGTTGAATTCTTGAAAGCCACTCTCTACATTTACCCTAACCATCTGTTACTGGCTATAGAATGGAAGAGTATGAGAGACAGTCATTCTTTGGAAGCTCCAACATTGTGATTCACAAAGGCCAATCTGAGATCTGGTTCTAGTTTGAGATGGTGTTTTTCTGGATTTCTGTTATAAGAATAAGTTAAAGGAGTTTTTCCTTAATGTTAACTTTGTTCTATTTGAAAAGACCACCATTATTGCTGAATTTTTTATTTCCTAACTTTTTTTTGTATTAAAATGTCCTTTTAAAAATGTTACGTTAATGGTATTTATATTTAAAAGTATTTTGAAGGGCACCACACATGGTGGAACATGCCTGTAATCCCAGTGAATTGGGAGGCTGAGGCAGGAAGATTGCAAATTTGAGGCTAGCCTCAGTAACTTAGCAAGGCCCTAAGCCACTTAGTGAGTTAAATATTTAACAAACAAACAAACAAAAAAGGACTGGGATGAAGCTCGGTGGCAAATTTCCCCTGGGTTACATCCTTAGTACCAATCCCCCCAAAAAACGTTTTGAAAGGCAATAATTGTGACTGTTTTGTTTACAATCATATACTCAGTCCCATGTAAAATGCTTGGCATATAACAGAGAACCAACAAATATTTAAATGACTCAGTAAAATGTTAGGCGACCTAGTTTGGTTATCAATTGTGTGGGCTGGGGAGGGAGAGTTTTACTAATCTCTGCAGTCTAAAAGTCTGATAACTTTCAGACTGGTACTCCTGAGGAGTGATCCAAAACGCCCAGTGTACTGAAATGTTCCCCCCAGATTTGCATCTATCTAGAACCTCAAGAAACAGGGTCTTTGATGATGTAATTAAGATGAGGTCATGATGGATTAGGGTGGGCCCTGATCCAGTGATTGGTGTCCTTATAAGAGGTAATTTGGACCGACAGACACGGGGAGAAGGCTCTGTGATGGCAGTTACCAGAAGGCAGAGATTGGAATGATGCAGCTACAAGCCAAGCAATGCTGGTGACCATCAGAAGCCTGGAAGTCAAGGAAGGACTCGACTTCCAGGGAGCCTTCTGAGAGAACATGGCCCTGCAACTCCTTGATGTGGGACTTCTAATCTCCAGAACTGGAAAGGAGCATATTTCTGCTATTTTGAGCCACTCAGTTCATGGTGCTTTGTTATAGCAGCCCTGAAAAACCAATGCAGACCACTAGATGTGGCAGAAGGCAGAGGGGGAATGGACAAAATTCCTAGGGACTGATGGTTATCTCTTATAATCTCTCTACTAAGAGGCAAAAAGGAGAATAAACAGTCACAATGCTCCTTCAGGGCATAAATGATGACTGTGAGTATGGGGAATCATGATCAGGAGAATACTTACCCATTTTTAGTCATGGAAGAAATAGAAGAAATAATTTGGGATGATGCAGGAAAGATATTTGTTAGATGTTAGTCTTGATGGATGTGAGTCTTGATGGGAGAAGTATTAGGTGCTTAGAATAGGTTAGAACCAAAATGTGTTTGTAAAAATATGGGTATAAATCAATTTTACAAATTAATGTATTTAAAATGTATCATTATTGTAGGACTATTTAAAATAATCACGATGAATTAACTGATACAGGAAATAAATACTTTGGGAAGAGATACTTAGATTCATACATAATTTGTAAATCTAGATTTTCCCCATTTGCCTAAAACAACAATTGTGATTTTAACTGAAGATTGGAAAAAACAAAAACAAAAAGCAGACAATGCCATACATAATAATCAGGGCAGGTATTTTTTTTCTATGCTATTTACTGAGGGTGAATGATGAACTTAAAAGTTCTCTAAATACTTAATGAGTGTCGCAGGTAATTTACATAGTTAGCGGAGAGGGTGGGTCTACATAGCTTTTATTCCTGGTCCAAAACTTCATTTTTGTGACATACAAAACAAGTGTTTATTTCTGTAAAATGGGATGTGAGAAACAAGAAAAAGATAAAGAACTAAGGGATTGAAAAGGGTGCACTAAAGTCTGAAAAGTGATCAAGTCATATTTATAAAGTGGACTACCTGAGATGAGAGAGGTAATCTAAACTCTTTATAGAATTCAAGTTGTAAGTTTTATGAGGGAGGGGTAAGACTTTAGAGAGACCATAAGGTCTCATCTGCCAGTGAACAGGGAACATATTAATTCAGTTTGGCCACCTGGGACCCATTTAGTGCACTAGAGCAGTAATTTGCTAAATGGGTTCCTCATAGTAAAAAAGAATGAGTAAATAGCCAGCAATTTAGGCTTGGTAAACCACTAGTAGCTCAAGGGATATAAAAATGTGAAACTATAATTAGATTCCTTGTTCATAATGTACTAACTAAATGTATTACATTGTATATCACATCTTTCTAAGTTTATTTCTGGACACAGCTGAGTCCTTAACAATTCAGATTGAAACCATCCCAGCTATCAACTCATGCCTCCATTAAAATTCCAACTGCTTATATCAGAAAAAAACACCAAAGATAGTTCCTTTTATCTCAGATCTAAGGATGCAAACAGGATTAACCTAGATGCAGAACACAGCAAGTCAGTTATAAATCACACAGCAGAAAGTAAACTGTGGCAGTAAATTGAAAATTATGTTCTCTTTCTCTCAACTTAGCTGTGAAAATATTTTAACGAGTTGGCATCAGGGTTTACAACTTTTACATCTAATGTTTCCTTTCAGGATTATCTTTTAGCATTTTAATATGTTATTCTTTGAAAAGTGGCTAGTCAGAAATGTGATATTAGAGTGTATGTTTGGAACATGGGGACAGCATTCCATGGTTTGGAATACAAGCATATTCCCCACTCTACTTTTTAAGTGGGAGAAGCTGCTATTTCATTGGTATCTGGAAAACATTTGTCTTTTATCAAAACTTTTTATTCAGAGAAACTGTATAGTGTGGGTTGGCACAGATGGTGTAGATTCAGTTCCATAATACAGGCAGGCTCTAAATGCAAGTATTCTTGCCCTTTATCATTTTGTTATTTCAACTATAAGGTTCCCTTTGATCTGGCGTTAAGAAGACTGTCTCTGTTTTAGGAACTCTTTTTTTCTTTGTCTCACCTCCAAGTTTAGTAATTTCATGAAGGTGTGGGGATGGAAGGATCACACTGTGGACCCTTCTGCTCTGCCCTCCACTCTGATTTTTATGATTCTGAGTAAAATGGAATGCCATCTTTCTGATTACTCTATGCATGAAATCTGGTAAAATTGTATTCTTTGAATACCCCCGCCTTTTTTAGTTGACAATGGATCTTTAATTTATTTATTCATATATGGTGCATATATGCATATATGGTGTTGAGAATTGAACACATGCTAGGCAAGTGCTCTTCCACTGAGCTACAACCTCACCACCCCCCACCGTTTTTTTTTTTTTGGTACCAGGGATTGAACCTAGGGGTGCTTAATCACTGAGCGACACCCCCAGCCCTATTTTGTATTTTATTTAGACACCCATCTGAGTTGCTAAGGGCTTTGCTCTTGCTAAGGCTGGCTTTGAACTCAAGATGTTCTTGCTTCAGCCTCTGGAGTTGCTGGGATTACAGGTGTGTGCCCTATAATCATGCCACCATGCCCAGCTCAACCTCACTTTTTTAAGTGGGAATGTGTTTATTTTTCTTTGTGCTGAGATACTTTTAACAATGTTTATTAACTCACTCACCATCAATTTGGTAAGAGGTATCCTGACACCAAGTTCCTATCTGCCACAAGTATAAGATGTCTCCCCAGCTTTTCCCCAACTCCACTATTTTGGATACTAAATTCTCTGAGCAATGCTTTTCTTTACCCCCCACCTCACCCCCTTTGGAGAATGTGTTTTGGTTATAAATACCTTGAAAGAATAAATAAAATTCTTAAGGGATTAAAAAGGCAGAGCCATGGTGACTGTATAAACCCAACTGACAGGAATCAGAAGTAGATTAAATAACCAACTATAATTTCTTAGAGAGGATGCTAATGGACATTGGGCCAATGGTGACTGAATTTTTGATTAGAAGAAACTTACCTAGGGCTTGTTACATTAGGTGAAGAAATATAACTTTAGAAAGAGACATTTGGGAGTTAATATATACTTCTTTTTATATTTTTTAGTTGCCAATGGATTTTTTGTTTGTTTATAAGTGGTGCTGAGGATTCAACTCAGAGCCTCACACATGCCAGGCAAGTGCTCTACCACTGAGCTACAACTCTAGCCCTACATTTCTTTTTATATACATATACATTTTATATATATATATATATATATATATAAGTATACAGCAAATATTACAATGGTTTTGTAGGAGATCAACTAAGGAACTATTGAATATAAAGAGGTGCAAAAATTCCATTTTAGTACTGAAGTTTAACATGTGCTTCGTTTTTAATCTTATTAAAGGATGCCTAAATTAAAATACCATTCTTTCCACTTCTACAACTGATAGTGTTAGGGGCTGGCCTACATATAAATTAGTGCAGTTTAAATTTATGCTGCATTACCTCTTTTCTTTAGAAATTTACTTCAACAGGTACTCATTTTCTTTTATCTCAGTATATTTCATTCAAAGTTAGGCCTATGTTCTCTAACTTCCCTGTTTTATTTCTTTCCAAAGTGCTTTCTTTCGTACTTTCCCCCATGTACTCTGTCTCATTTATTGAATGTTGTTTTAATTTATAAACTCTATGAAGGCACGAACAATGTTTAATTATTCAATTGTTGTAACAGTGATGGGAACATATTTCTTAAATAAATTTTTATGTTAAAATAATTGACTTTAACATTATTTGTCATGTAGGAGCTTGTAATCTTCCCAATTAAAAAAAATGTTATTGTTGATGTAAGTTACATGGAATAAAAATTAGTTTCATGAGGCCAAGGGGTAAGACTTTCAAAGAAAAATACAGGAAATCATTTCTGAGAATTTCAAGAATCATTGAAAAATGTTTATTTTTTTGTCCTGCAGCTCTCTCCATTCCTTTGTGTGGATAATTTAAATACAATTTTCCTTGCTACAGCTCCAGCTGATATCTCTTTCTCTCCTCAACCTCAAGTTTAATAATCTTATTGAAGTTAAGGCAGGACCTGTATGGTATAGGTCGTTATAACTATTGAAAAGTCTCACATATGAAAATCCAGATTTGTACAGTATTCTCAGGCAGAGTCGTAATTCAATTTAAAAGACTTACTAAATTATTTTAAATAGCAAACTGCCCTATCTAGCCGACAATATCAATAGATCAAACAATAACAAAAACACTCCCCACCCAGACCACAACTAAACATTGTAGCAGTAGAAAATAATATTTTCCCTCCTTCAATGCTGAAAGAAAGAAAAAAAAAAAGGTAAGACATTAAGAGGAAGCATACAAGAACAGCCCATCCCGAATCTAACTACGTCTCTGTTCCAACGTTCCTTCCACTTTCTACTGTTTTCTGTGTCACTAAGTTACTCCAAACTTCGAGATCCGTGGGAAACGAGAGCACATTCCTTTGCCATTTTTCCCCTAAAAAGAGAAGGAGAAGACGGCTCAGGGTTGAGCGACTGCCACCAAGCATCCTCAATAACGGTCTAAGAATTTCCAGACCCTCCCTGTCTTCCCGGCACTGAGAAAGTGCTGAAGAAGTAGGCTGGCCCACCCTGCGGGCCTGTGGTCTCCAGGGGGTGGGTATCGGTACCCCACACCCGCCCAGGGGAGGACCAACGGCTTCCGTACGGTTAGGGGCCCTGAAAGTCCTGGCTCCCAACGAGCGGGGAAAATCAGTCACCCGGCGAGTAGTGAGCGAGTGAGATCCAAGTGAACGTTCCTGGCACAGAGTTCAACAGCAGAGGGCACAGTACCCGCTGGTCCAGGCGGACTGAGGGCCCCGAGGAGGGGCAGAGCCCACGGACCGCTGGGGCTTGTAGTTCGCCCAGTTTCCCTCCCGCATGCAGGACCCCAGTGAGAACACAACTCCCGAGGTGCACCGCGCGCCCCTCGGCGCTGTCCGCTCCGAGCCTGCCCAGGAACCTCCCGGGAAAGCTCCGCCCCGCCCTCGCACGCACGCCTCACGTTTGTTTACCCTGAAGCCCCGCCTCCCCGCCATCCCTGAAGCTCCCAGGAATGCCGTCATGCTAGCGATGCATATTCATGAGGTCCGCGCGGAGCCCCCGCCCTTCCCGCCTCTAGCCTTCCCGCTCCCAGCGCTTGATTAATATTCAATGAGCCGGGCTCCGCGGCTGGCTCGAGGGGGAGCGGGCGGGGCCTGGCGCTAGGGAGCCCGCGACCCGGGCGGGGAGGGCGCGTGTGGGGGGGGCGGTGGTGGCGAGGCGGGAGCGCGGGATGGAACACCGAGACACCGACGGAATGCTCCGAATTGCCACATAATCCCTTGGAACGGCGGCGCCGAACGCCATTGGCTTCTCCCTGGTCGGCGCGCCGCCGCCGTCTCCCACCTTCGCCTCACCTCCTCCCTTTCTGTCCGCTGCCTCCGGAGCTGGGGGGGAAACGCGAAGCCCCACTGCAATGGAGCCCGCCGCCGCGGCGCAGCGACTCCCCGACACTAGCAGGG